CCCCCCCCCTCAGAAATCACAATACTCTCCCGTGGCGTACAGTAAATCCCTCACAAGAAGTCATCATCAGACGGGCGTACTTTAAGACCGCCAAAAGTCACAATCCTCTCAGTGGCGTACTGTAAATCTATCACAAGAAGTCATTATCTAACGGGCTTACTGTAAACCCCTCACAAGAAGTCATCTGACGGGAGTACTGTAAGACCACAAAAAGTCACAACCCTCTCAGTGGCTTACTGTAAACCTCCTCAAAAGTCATCACCTGACAGGTGTACTGTTTATCTCTCACAAGAAGTCATTATCTGACAGGAGTACTGTAAACCTTCTCCAAAGTCATCATCTCACAGTCGTACTGTAAATCTCCTCCAAAGTCATCATCTGACAGTCGTACTGTAAACCTCTTCCAAAGTCCGGAGGTGAGCGCAGACGACATGGCGGTCTAGCAGGTGTGGCCGGAACAACAGGAAGTCCTGCAGGGTGCGCGCGATCTCCAGGGACGTGACGTCACTCAGCAGCGTCCGCTGGGGCAGCAGTTCGCGCATGCGCACACGGCACAGGTGTTGCAGGGACGAGCACTCGCTGCACCTGAGGAGAGTAGTTTGGTGTCATCTTCACATGGGCGGCTGGGGCACGCTTCTGCTTACCCTTCTATAAAGTAGAAGGCTATTCCTCCTTATTTTAGTTTCAGTTTGAATAGAGGTTAAGTAATCATTAAAGACAGTGAAAATAAAATAGAAGCAACAGAAATGTGGTTTCTTAGGAGACTGCTAAGAGTATCGTGGAAGGAAAAGAAATCAAATGAGGTGGTGCTTAATGAAGCCCACGTGGGACGCTCATGGTTAAAAACAATCAGGAAATGACAAATGCTGTTTTTGGGAGACCTGAATAGACATAAGGGTCTTGAACATCCAGTTCTCACTGGCAAAATTGAAGGCAAACGAGGAAGGGATAGGCCCAGAACAACCTACCTAGGGAATCTAAACAAATGGGTAACAGGGAAAATCAGGGAAGCGAAGCTTTTTTTTTTTAGAGCATCCGAGCAAAGGAATGAATTGAGAACCATGATCGCCGATGTCTGTCGCAGATCTGGCACTGGATGATGATGAGAAGTTTTGCGTCGCTCCCAACTGCATTAGGTCATATGAGCGCCAAGGGGTGGATGTCAACAGAGAAGCCCAAACGGGGAATCAGACTTACTCTGCTCACCTCTCTAGCTTCAACAGTACAAAGTCTGTTTCCACTATCAAGGCACCCCGGAAATAGCAGCTCACAAGAGAGTGACAAACATACAAAAGAAGTAGAGGGAAATGACGATAGTGAGGATGAGGAAAGAAAAAGCAGCTGTTCCCCCTATGTTGCTCTGTCACAGGATGAGCATGACATTGATGAATCAGCCCATTTACAATTCTACTGTGCATACAAACATGTTAATATCCCCCCTTTTGTGAATGGCCTAAAGACAACTTCAGTCAGTGGCACCGCCTCCTTTGCAAGCAGCCATTATTATTCACAATCTAAGTTTTCAGCATCACAAATTTCCCAATTATTTCGCTCTTATTTGATCCTATTTGCATTAAATAAACCTTGAACGGAGCAGAAATGGATGAATCAAGCCATGAACGTACACTTTGAATGTAGATCTAGATAAATTACATTTGCTGAGGTTTGGTCGATTTTTGTTATGACTGAGCAACCGTGTGATGCCGTGAGCCGGCTGAACTGGCACGCCGTGTACTGAGATTTGATGACGATGATGAAATCATCATTCAGTGCCAGATCTGCGACAGACATCGGCCATTATGGTTCTCCATTTATTCCTTTGCTCGAATGCTCTTGAAAAAGCTACAATTCCCTGATCTTTCCCTGTCATCCACTTGTTCAGGTTCCCCAAGTAGTTTACGAATATAATGGTTGGGACATCTGTCAAGACTACCAGCAGACACTATAGCAGAGAAAGAGCTTACAGCCAGAGATCAGATGGACACAGAGGAAGAGGCAGGCCCAGGAAAAGATGGATAGAGAGGGTCAGAGAAACATTAGACAAAAACAATATCATTATTGTAAATATGCAACAGGCGATGAAAAACTCATCATAATTTATAAGTTATGTACATATCAGTACTATTTTAAGAACAGGTTTTGTGTTCTTAGAAACAGTTTTCAAAATAAAACATCATAGCACATGAAATACAAAATCATAAAGAAACACAGAAACACAATAGATATATACAACATTTATACAGCGCAAATTCCCGCTCAACAGCAAGCTCTAGGCGCTTCACAATCTATACTATTACCCCAGCAGACAAGAGAGCATTCTGAAACAACTTCAACTTCCTGGGAAGTATACAGTGCAAGCGGCCGTTTATAGGCGCTAAAACACTAACATACTGACAAGATCTTTTGCTGTCTATGGCTGGGTACTCATTCCCACCTGGGTGAAGTGAGGAAAATTCGTGAGAAGTGCCTTTCTCAAGAACACAACGTCGTGTCTGTGGCTCCAACTCCCGTAGCCGCAAATTCACGATCACAGGTCCGGTACCCTAACTACTAGACCACCGACAACCTCACGATCACAGGTCCGGTACCCTAACTACTAGACCACCGACAACCTCACGATCACAGGTCCGGTACCCTAACCACTAGACCACCGACAACCTCACGATCACAGGTCCGGTACCCTAACCACTAGACCACCGACAACCTCACGATCACAGGTCCGGTACCCTAACTACTAGACCACCGACAACCT